TTAGGATTGGATAAATTCGAGAAATCATTCTGGATTCTAGCAAAATTTTATTTCTTGGGTGTTAAATTACCAATCCCAAAAAAAAAGTTTTACATTGAATGTTAGATTCAAAATAATTAGAATTGAAAAAAAAAGAAAAAGAAATAATACCTAGCGAGTGAGAATTAGAAACTCGCTACTCTGAAATTCTAAATTCTCCAAAAAAAATAATAATAATGATACTCAAGAAAAGGGAATTAAAAACTCGAGGTCCACTGAAAAATATCAGCCTCTCATTCGACAGACCATCGTTATAAGTATTAGGATTGGATAAATTCGAGAAATCATTCTGAATTCTAGCAAAATTTTATTTCTTGGGTGTTAAATTACCAATCCCAAAAAAAAAAGTTTTACATTGAATGTTAGATTCAAAATAATTAGAATTAAAAAAAAAAGAAAAAGAAATAATACCTAGAGAGTGAGAATTAGAAACTCGCTATTCTGAAATTCTAAATTTTCAAAAAAAAGAAAGAAGAAAATAATAATAATACTCAAGGAAAGAGAATTAAAAACTCAAGGGCCACTGAAAAATATCAATCTCTCATTCGACAGATCATCGTTCCATAACGATCTTCGCATAATCGTCGCCAATCATTCCCGCCTACGCGTTCAATATTGACCAGAGCGTGGTCACGTGTCACGCGAAAACAGAAAAATTTCGTATTTTCGAAAACGTCAAGCACGCCAGTCGTGGAGAATTTAAAAGGAATTCGTAAATCTGGTAAATCTTAGAACGAGATGTGCGAATCTCGCGTTTATTATTTTTCTTCTACAGATGAAATCACCGTTACGAGCCAACGTTCGCGGAACTGCATCCGTCAAGCATCGACGTGCAATCAAACGTCGTGATTTTCGCGTTTTGTCGCGAATCTGCGTTTTCGTGTGTCTGGTTCTCGTGCAAAATTCGTTCGACGCGAGTGGCGTCACCCGAGAAAAGAGCGTTACGATCGATCAAGTTCCGCAGACGTCGGAGTGGAATTTCTGCCGTGGCCAGGGTCAAATTTCGCAAAACGAATACACATAATTGGATTCGCGTGGTTGTACGGATTGGATTTACGAAGCTGATTAGCTGGAAATTAATATTGGTTATACGTATCGTTCGACGTAAAATGAAATATGACTTTCTCGCGAAAGGTCCTCATGCAGTTACGTATATACTAAATGTTTGAAGAATTTTATATTTTTATGAACGAAAGTTTGCTTCCGCTGTAAAATATTATATATTACATTATATTTATTATATTATATATTATATTATATTTATTATGTTACTTGCTCCAGTTTCGTTATTTCACGCATTCTGCGAATTTTTGTCAGAGATTTTTGCAAGTTGGTAAGTTGAAATTTTGGAACTTTAAGTGCATAAAAATCCGCGGTTCAGCTATTCAATATTTTTGATTCATTTGGATTTCAAGTTCACGTGTCTGTCAGCTGTAATATTCTTAATCGTAAGTAGTAAGTAGTGCGACTCGCGATATTGTCAGACATTTACTAACATTCGAACATTCTTACGTTTTTCTGTATAAAACAAAATTCGAATTTTTTAAATATTTATGAGACTTTGTCATTCACTATTTCGCATGTCTCATTTTTCTACAAAAGTTCCAATTCAAGTATCGTTTATCACGAAAAAAAAAAAAGACTATTGCATGAAGAACTGTGAAATCTATCGTTCTTATCGATAATAAAATTATTTTCAATATAATTTATTTCAATGTATATTTATTTTCAACATAATTTTGTATTCTTACTACGAATTTTTTTAGAAATATTAGAAAATATATTTTGATATTTGAAATATTTCGAGTGCAAATTTTAATTTTTATGAAACAACGAAGGAATTAATAAAGGATGTTCATTTTTATTCTCTGTATTACATCCAATTGTAACGAATATCGACTAACTGTGAAAACATAGTCTTTTCAAATTATTCAACATTCGTGAATTTCGTATTCGCGGAATTAACAGAGAATCCTGCTAACATATAAAAGCAAATTTACGCCGACTCGTTAAGTACTTTATAACGCTTGTACCACCAAATACAAGAAATTTCGTTTTTCAAATCCTCTACTTTACATTTCACTTGTCAATCGCGAAGAACGAACTTGAAAGATGTTTGTACATTCGGAATATTTGCGCTGACGCGATAATTGTAATAATCTTGTAGAATATTACGATAACAGCTGATGATTTACCCTATCGATCGCTGTAAAATAGAAGTGACGTTATTATAGAAATGTATCATCGTTCTCCGTATAAATAGCCAACAGAGCTAAAACTTAAACTTAGCAGAGTGAGGCGAATTCTACAATAGCGACCGACTAGCGAACTATTCAATCCCGTCGATACGAGTCTATCCGTCCAAGATTTTTCAGAGATATTTCGAACGTTTCGAACGAGGACCCGCTCAAATTCCAAACCGACCAAAGAAATATATCTGTCCTCGGTCTGCCGAAAGACAATTTGACACCAGGAGGAAATGGCCAAGATTCACGTGACAAGATTCACCGCTGAAACTCGGCGGCGCCACTTGGCCACGCGTTTGCCAAGATAATCCGGAAACTCGTTCTAGCGTTACCATGGCAAATGTCCAAAACTGGACCGTGTCTGACCCAATGCAACGTTTCGGCTATGAAATACACATCTAGAATGCGGTCATGAAAGCACACGTGAATCACCATAAACGTGCACGTGCCGTTTTCCGTGCATTTTTAGACTTGATCGCGATCGTTACGTGTATCATAATGTTTCTTCATTTTTACGAAATTTCATTTTATTTAAAAAAGTTAACAACAGTTTTAGTTTGTAATATAATTTAACAATAAGCACACTAAATGTCGATATATATTTAACTAGAATATGGGTTACGTTACGATGAATTAAATTATTGTCACTAGATAGCAATGTTTAGTAAATTTAAAGAAAAACGATATTACTTATGGTTATGATAAATTAAATTATTGTCACTAGATAGCAATGTTTAATAAATTTGAAGAAAACGATATTACTTATGACTCCTAATATACATATATTGAGTCTAAATATTCTAGTAAGAAGTCTAATAAAATATTCTAATAAGAAGTCAAATAAAATCCGAATATTATATTCTAATTAAAAAGATCTAATAGATAAGAATTAGAAGAAGGAAAGTAACAAAAAGTATTAGGAAAATCCCCTTTCGTAATCACGATATTAGAAATTAAAATTCAATAATGTAAACTGATCGAAAAACAGGAAACGTAGGTATTTAGAAATGCAATCGAAAATGTATACGTGAATTTCTATTATTATTAGTACAAGTCGATAAGGGAGAAACGTTTTGGAAAGATTTAGTCGTCAGACAACAATCAGAGCTTCCTATACAAAGAAAAAAGGGGAAATAACTTAATTATAAACGTGTACTATTTCTGTACTTTGTTAATTTAAAAAAAAAAAAGGGAAAGCTTTTGGACCAGGTGAACCGAAAGCAATTAATCAGAGGAATATTTCAATAAACTCAACAAGTCGACAATCGGAGTTTTCCACGCAGAAACAGAAGAGGAAATTAATTGCATCCGTCTCCCTGTCGATAATCGACGATCTAACCTTCGAAATTCGGTCCACTAAATCAGCCTCACCGCGCGATCTACACTCTGCTATCAATTATCCAGACAAGTGAACTCGATAAATCGTTAATATCAGTCAGAAACCTTTTTCTAGCCGCAAGAACGTGCGATTACACGGTTGGATAATAATCGATAGCCAGCGAGACAACGATCGACGTTCATACGATCGATAGTCCGGATAATCGGTGCCCAGATAACAAACTTCTCGCTGCGGTCACTCTGAATTCGAAACGATTTACCATTTAATTACGCTATCGTTCAAGTCGAATGGCGCCTGTCGTTCTGATACATGTATTTTCATCGGCGTGATTTTGTTGCGAAACGTCGCCGTCGTAAACTGAAACGATTCTACGCAGTGTTGTGGTAAGTTCTATCGTTGGGACAGAAATTTAGAAAAATGGAGAATGAATGAAAATTGGTAACGTTTGACTTTAGTAAAATTACCGGAATTAAATATTTTTTATTTTTTAAAAAAAATAGAAAACATTGTGTTATAAAATTTAATTTCAGAAAAAATTAAAGATATCTACCTTCACCAGAATTGGATATTTTTAATTTTGCCATGATGTTAATTTAAATTTGGTGACATTTGGTGATATTTAGTATATTTAGTAATATCTAATTACAAATTATCTAACCTTCCTTTCTGCCAGAAAGCGTAATTAATGATGATAGAACTAGAAGATAGAAGACGTATACCGACAAAACTCAAGGGACTGAAGTGTACCTATTCTACATAAAACAATTTGAAACGCTTGTCTTTGTGCAATGTGAAATGCTCTCGGTATTTTCGCAATTCAGTTGACTTCTGATGTTGCGATTTCTAACAAGAGGAATCTACGTCCCTAGAGAGGTCACTTGGACGATGACTTCAAACCGGGATGCAAAAGAGTATTCTTAGACGATGGGTGTGTACTTAGAATGTTTAGATCGCCTCGATGGCGATTTCAGATTGTTCAAACTTTTCGCACAAGTTCTAGAATTAATCTTTGACGAGTGATTGTTCTCAAGTGAAGGGCGAATTATTCTTGAGATTTGCAATATTCATTAAGTTTGCAGTACAACGCATTACGTTGAAGAAACAAAAATTTGTACAAAGGAAGCCAGATTGAAAAAGAATATCAGAATTTCTGGTAACCATTCATATTATTAGATAACATAGAAATTGTAAATGTTGTTACTACTATTTAAATTAATTAATGTTTAGAAACATCGTGTGATAGTGTACATAATTTTTAATTAGATTTTTCAAGTACAAGATACGAGACTCGCATAATCCGGGATAGTCTAATAAAACGCTCGAAATAATTCTGATTGTAACAAATAAAGAGGGATTAAGATAATACTCTGACTCACCATTCCGTGGCAAAGACTGACAGTAACAGCAGAGTATGGATCACCGTCTACTGTTCCACTGTAGAAACATCCGAGTTCATGGCGTGGATATTCCCTTTTGCTGGTATCCTCAGTCATGTGAGTAATCTACGTAAACAGTGAAAAGGAAAAAAAAAAAAGTTATAATACACTTAAAAAATTGATAACACAATTAATAAATGATACGAAAATAAAAGAATTTTGCAAAAGCGATTGTACTTTGAGTGAAAATTCAGAATGAGTGCTAAAATTTTACACACGGGGGAAGAAGCAACGCCATAGTCATTCAAGTAGATACACATTTAAAAATAAACAAACTTGCGAAAATAAAAGTTTACAAATTTCTTTAAATACTGTTAAAACGCATTATCAAAAATATATCTTTCCGATTTCATTCCGATTGAAAAGCTATTCGAGTAACACTATAATATTAATGTTGTTACATTTTCTTTTGGAGAGTTAAACCTCGATTCAAATTTTCAAAAAAAAACTTTGCTCAAATTCACTTGCTCCAAAAATTGTCTGTCAATTCTCGAAAATTTAATTCTTCGTCAATTCCCTTTAAACTCGTCAAAGTCTTTCGTTGATGCTTTAAATAGAAGTTAAACAACGTCCGAAGGGAATAAGTCCCTGTAATCTGTAATCAGCCAGATATCTAATACCATCGACAAATAATTGGACGACGACATTGCACTCGAGAAGACTTTTAACGCGTCGTTCATCGCGTTTCACGGAAGGAAAGTTGTTCGGCACGATGATATCGCGTGCATTAGCATGGTAATAACACGCGAGACGAGATCATTTTTCTGATAATCGTAACAGGATTAGCGGGCAATAAAAGTGTATGTCCGAAGCGTCCGGATCGAGGCGAAGAAATTGAATTTGTTGATAACTCGTGTGAAATAACTCGCTGTAAATTGATGGGAGTTGATGGTGAATAGGTGGGGAATATCTTACCGTGATATTCGGTGATACGAAACTGGTGTCGTGAGCCAAACGTAAACGAAACCGTCTTCCAAAGGCGGTGAACTCGTACTGGGGATGAGGATCCCATACCTCAGCTGTGGCATGTCGGAAGTGACCGCTGTGGTGTCGCTTCGCTGTTGAATATTTGTCCGCTGTAATCAAACAAACGTAACACAGGCGTCAGAATACTTTTCGTGAGTTGTTATTGTATGTATATCGACAGGCTTGTAGACGGAGTTATGTTACAACATGCTTTCGATTTATAACGTTGTACAATTTATTTTACGATATATATATATTATACCATATATATATATATTTTTTTTTTCATTATTTTTTAGGTATACAATTAGCTCCTGAAGTGAATCTCACAAGTTACGAAACACCCTATATATATATTATTATACTTTATATACTTTATATATATTATACTATATATATATATATACTTTATATATATTATTATATTCCAATGTGCTTTAACATTTATAACATTAATGCACTTTAATATTTTAATATTTATGTAACTATACTATATGCAATATTTTTCCCAATTATTGAAATTAAATATTGAAATTAGAAGAATTGTTGATTTTTATTTTCTGGATTAAAGATTATCAATTGACGGACTGAAATTGATGTTGAAATGAAAGTTAAATATGATATATAATGAATTTCGTACTTTATTGAATTATATATTAGAATTGTAGTTTAATTTATACTATTACTAAAATTGTAGTTTTACTATATTGTTACGTTGCACAATTATTAAAATTAGAACGATCGCATTGATTCTTAAATTGAGATTAAAATTAAAGTTCAATGACAATGCGTTAATTATTTGATTGTAAAAGTGAAATCTTCCATGATTACGTGACTAAAAATGTTACGTTTAGAATTAAGTAATGACTTCGATTTGTCACAAAAAAAATTTGATTTGGAACGTTATTGAATTCTGTATGTACTAAATAATTCTATGTATTAAACAATTTTTTGTTTATGGATACAGACAGAGTCTTATATACCTTTGTTTCATACTTCGTGATTAATTTTCATACAATTGTTTACCTTCGAAAATAATTTCGATCTCAAATTATTGCTGAACATCCTTGGATATCTGAATTGCTTATTCTCAAATATTCGCAAACATTCTCTCTGGGCCAAGTAGGTTAAGTCTGGATATTATAAATTACAGGACAGCAATGTAGTTTTCGAATTAATAGTAATAAATTGACAGTCTTTGAAAATATGTGCAAGGTCGCTAACAATCGTCCAAATTGCAGAGAACCGTTGGCAAACGTACAATAGCGTTCTATTTAAATCAACCCTCTGGAACATTTAAATGAAAACTGTTGATACTGATGAAACTTTGAAACAAAAGTTTCCAGGACGGAAAAAATAGTAAGTATCGATGTCTGTTGGTTTTATCTGAATAAAAAAATGAAAATCCTAAAAATCCTAGATGTTTTACGGATTTGACCTAAAAACGTTAGAAATTCTTAAATTTCTGTCGTTTAACCAACACTCGATGTTTAATAAAATGGCAAGAAAAAATCGTACAGCGAGTTTTTCTTACTGTTTAACCCTTGAATACATGTCCTTGAATGTTGCAAATTTGTAACATTTTACATTAGCTTCGAGATTTAAAAAGTTGTCGAGTTGAAAAGAGAGCAGAGACTTTACGCTTCGAGGTGCGTCTATATGGACTACAATTTTTTTTTTTTTCCACAATTTGACCCTTAAATACACAGCGTTGCAAATCTGCAACTGCGAAATGTACAAAAAATTGTTGAGTCGAAATGTACGAATGTCCGAATAGTTTTGCGGAGACCAGCGTACGTGTACAACAATGAGGAAACGTTCGTCCGCTTCGAACAATGAACAAACTTATACATACTATCGTTCAGATATCATCGGGGTCATCGAGACAGTCTGATCGGATCATTGATCGCATTTCTCCTCTGCGGCGATGGCACGCGAGACGCGTGACAGAGCAGGCCGATTCAAATTAGCGCAATTAGAGTGCGATGCGTTCCGATGATGGAACGTGCACGCGTGATCCCCGAAGCGTGGCCGTGTACACCACCTTTATCAGCATCACGTTCGCCTCGTTAGGCCCTCGATTGTGCGAGACGAGGCGGCTCATGCACCAGCGAAGATAAAAAGCAGACGACGCGGACAGAACCAAAGATATTTATAAAGGACGCGTATCGTTTCGTGTCGAACAGCGATCGCTGATTCTCCGAAGTGTAAATCAACTGTAAGACGCCACTCTGGCATGGAGGGTGGCATTTCTTTTCATAAATAACGGAAATTTCGAAATGCTCGCTTGCAAATCGATAGAGAATTCGTGTTCGCGCAGATTCGTATTTTTACACGAAAACTTGGAGTTAAAAAAAAAAAAAAAAAAATGGAACCTGAACGAAAGATTTTATTTTATCTATTAATTATTAATTATATTATGTTATATTATATTATATTAATTATTAATTATATTATATTATATTAATTAATATAAATATTATTAATATTTATCTATTAATTTATTAATTATCTATTATCTATAAGTATTTCTATTATTATATTATTATTATTATTATTATATCTATAATTATCTATCATTATTTATCTATTAATTTATTAATTTATTAATTTATTAATTATTGCAACGATTACTATAATAATATATTCGTATATTTTTTAATATTTTTCTATAGCGAACAGCATACATAACTGAACCAGTAAAGATGAAAAATTGTCGATACCTTAAACTATCGCAAGATCGTAAAAATTGATCGTGGAGAAGTAAAGGTACCTTTATTCTCGAAAATTGCCCAAATTCGGACGTCTCTAAAAACGTTGAAAATTTTCTTTTTCGATGACTAGATTCATCACAATCTTGGTGAAGTTTTCTTTTAAAATTTCTTCGAACATTAGGACCTTTCGAATTTTTGTCATTTCACTTTAACACTCAAAGTTCAACAAAACGATGAGAAAAGAATCGTGCAGCAAGTTATGCTTCAATCTACGAAATCACCATCAATCGATTTCTCAAACAAAATATTTTTTTTAATCCTAATTGAAAGCTTAATTTAGAAATTGAGACTCAATAATTGTCAAATAATTCTGCTGGCAAAGTTGTAAAATGAATTGTAGGACGAAACTCCAATTACATAATTGTCACCTAAAAAAAAAAACCAATTGCATAAACGAGACGTTCCTCTTAATGATTTCTCTTGAAACCAGTCATTCTTAATACGTTTAACACCGTCGTCGACCAAGTTTAAACGGCACGCTGGACGATTATAATTTCCCTGATTCACCTGAGAAATACGATCTGCTAACTGGCTCGAGTTGCAACGCTAAGTATCATCATCGTCGAACTGACGCTTCGCAGTTACTCAGCGCGGCGAGTGGCGCAAGTGAATGCCGGAATGGTAAATGGCATTTATTTATTGACAATCATCGTAACGGTGTCCCGCACGCGATCCGCAGAAAGCATTGCATAATTTCGTCGAACAAAAACTTCCGCGTTTGGATCCTATCACCGTTTAGAGGAAATTCACTCCTACGTTTGAGACGAGCGCGTTTCCTATCGTTCGACTACCTGATGAAAACGTTGAAACAATTGTTATATTATGAAAATTATTATATTTCTTCTTTACAGTTAAATATTATGTTTCTTTCAAATTATTATATTTCTTTCTTCGAGTGTATGTGTATGTGCGTCTCGTGTGCTAGAATTTTTTTATGAACTTACTAGACACGCGTGGAAAAAGTTTTAAAACTTCGTTTATACTATATGACTGTGTTGATCAATTTTGAAACAAATTAACAAAAAACTACGAGATATTTAATGTAAGATAAAAAAAAAATTTCAGACATCGCGGAAGTATCTATTTGAACAGCCATGATTCATTATACGAATGAATTTTATATGAATGAAACATATTCGGTGGGACCAATAGTATTTATTATACAATGTGATAATTTATTATTTAATAAATTATTATTTAATATTTGTAGTGGTTATGTATTTATAATTATTTACAGCCAGTTTAACTAATTTCAAACCTTGCGAATAATTACGAGTGAATGTTTAATAAAAAATTAATGTAAAAGGAAGTTACAGTTCTTTTTATCGTTTATCGATCCTCGTTCTCTATCTTTCTGTTAGATTATTATCTGATCACTTATCTAATCACTTTAAGTTACGATCGTTGAAAAATCAAGTGGAGATTTGACATGATCGATTACCGAAGAAACAGGTTGTATCTTATGAACTTACGTGGATCCTCGTACTGATTTTCACTGATCTTCATCAACTGGACGTACTCCAAGTCGGGTTTCTGAGAAAACGATTTAGTTTTCTTCGAACCGTTTCGACTCTTTGATGATCTCTCCGATTTTGAAATCACTGTAACAGAGAAATACGATATTTTAAGTATGCATGAAAGTGATTCAATAATCGTGCCAAGCATTTGAAGCATAATTAAAATATTTACGTGGAATTCAATCTAAATTCTAATAAAGACTCTGAATTGAAATTATGTTTAACAAGAAGAGCAAACAGACATAATATTCATTCTAATGGATAAGTGTTACCAATTGTCGGTGACTATGTGGTTTGAAGGATAAAAAAAAGAAAAAAAGAAGAAAGAAAAACATAGAACGTCCATATGAAATAAATCAAATAAAACATTTAAAGTAGAAACAATGGTTTGCAAAATGTTTGAAAATCCACGTTAATTGCTAAATTCCTAGAAACTACAGAGTTAATAAACATTACACATTATACACTTGCCAATTGAAATATGAGGAAAGAGAAGGGGCAGAGCAATCATTTAACATTCTCGAAACAACGATAAAATTCCTCATCCTTCTGACGACGATGTTAACGTTAATAACGTGATTAATAAACGTGATTTTGCAGCCCAGAAGCATACGCGTACGCGTCTCGGTGGTCAAGGCTGATGAGACGTCCGGAAAGAATTTCGATTTTTCATCGCGCGTTAAGAAGGTCGATTAATTGATTCTAAGCAGCTCGATTGCGTAATGACGATTGCTAAAAAAAAAGAACGCTAAAAAAAAAAGAAAAAAAAAGAAAAAGAAAAATAAAGAAAAAATATTCCAACGATTAACTTTAATACTAAGGCGAAGAAGCGCGGGGTTATCGCGCGAAATTCTCGTTTAAATTTGTACCGCGATATCTTAATGTTAAATCGGACTCGATAAGACGACTGTCATGGTCTAACGCCATGCAGAACGTTCGTTATGTTCGTTTATCTCTCGAGCGCCACGAGCTCCCTATCGAAACGAACGCTGCGGCGACGAATCAGATATCGTTGATCGAAGATTTTTGGAAAACTGGGAGCTCCTATTGTACGAAACGTACAATGGTGGCTCAAAGAAAGTTTAACCTCGTGAATAGTATTGTTAGATTATGAATGATTACAGTAATTCACTGTTAAATTAAATTAAAAATTCAAGGTGATTTCTATTAAACAGCGAATTTAATAGCTAGCGATTTTATTTTGTATTTTACATCTGCGATGAAATTCAGCTAAATTCAAAATTCGAGAAACTACGAAAGTTGTTATAGTATAACTGAAAATAGGAATTAACATTGGAATTTTTTTATTTTCCTCAAGTTTATTAATACAACATTGTTAGTATTTTTTTTTTTATTTCTAATTGAAAAGTGATTTAGAATATTGTTCGGCGGATGTTTCTCACTCTTTCAAGATCGTGGAAGTTTATATTTTTCGAATAATATTGACATCATACTACATTCATTGACATCAAAGTATTAATACTCGGTTTCTGACTTCATTTCGTCGACACTCGAAAGACTCGAGTGGTTAGGCACGCACGTATAAACGAAATATACTATAAATAAACATTCGATGCATCGAACCAATCAATTCACTCCACTGTCCTTTGTAACACAACGCGTTGCTGAGTCGCCGAATTTATCCTGATCGTGCTTTCTTTTGCGAAACCGATTTAGAAAATCGCCAAACCGAGCGTTTTGTATTTGACTGATTCTCGACGACCAATTATTTCTTTTATAGTACATTTCTTTTCTTTACTCACGGGATACATTACACAAAAATATACTTTGCTCTCGTACCATTCAAACCTGTCTTATTCTGTTTTCATTTTTGTAGCATTCAAGTGTAAATTATTTTTATGACGTTCAAACTGAAAAAAAAAAAGATTTATCCAACGTTCGAAGAATTTTAATTAATAGCATACACAGAAATGTTGCTTTCAAATGTACTTTATCTTTAAATGTGTTTCAGTGTGAATTATCTTTATGGTATTCAAACTACAAAGTGATCTGTTCAATAGTTAAAGAATCTTTCCGATACGATCTGATCGTTGATTCTTTGTCTATCATTGAGAAAAACAAATGAATCAGATAGACAGTAGACTATGTCTTGTAATTTTCCAACGTTTCCCATAAGTTCAAAAAAATTAAATTAAATTCAATACAGAAAATTGAAACCGATCATCGAGAAAATCAAGCTAACGAACAAGAATTTTGCGCTCGAGATGACACAATTTAATATGATTCTCGATAAAGTCTCGATTCCACGTCATCTGCGTGCTCTATTCACCCGATGTCCAGAAAAAAATTCAGAAATTACGCAAAAAATCGTTATAAACGGGTTTCAATATTCACTGCTGCGTCAACTGTGAACTTTTGCTCTCGATTAAACGCCACTCATCTCTCAGTGCGTCAACAGTGACTGATCTCATTGTCAGTCAGTATTCCAAACAGATTTTAATCTGTTAAGAAAGCCGCAAACGAAACAAAGTCGAAACTTCCTTCCGAGACCAACAACAAACTCATGTGCGTCCTAAAAACGAGTATTGAGAAATTCAAGTTCAGCATTGAGAAATTTCACAAGTGTCAGAAAATAGAAATAAGAATTAAAAGAATACGTTAGCTCAAAGCGAAAATTAACAATCAAATCTATTGAAATATCGAAACGCACTAATTCTCATAATTACAGCGTCGTGTCGTATTGCAATTAATTTCATATCACAGAAGAAAAGAAATAGAAATTTACATTGGTAATTAAATAAAATTTTCGAAATTATCCTCGAGGTTTATGAACAGAATAAAATTTTAATCTCATATTAAAAAAGTTAAGTTCGACGGTCGAAATTGATTTGCCATCAATGCGACCAAATTAAATTGATTTCCAAGAATCATCTAATGGCAATACCCTAACCTCAGGTGACTAACGCAACGACTCATCCCATAGACGACCGCAGAAAGGTGATGTACAGTGACACTTATTAATATTCGGACATTATGCTATTCAAAATATTATTGTGGATTTCGATTGTATACAATAGTGAGTTTGGATTAATTTTTTAATAATATACTAGTGCATTCATTATCGTTTACAGCAACATAAATTTTATTTATTTATTGCACATACTTTTCTTCATATCAAACAATAAATTGAATTATGTACATCCGTTCGACGAATTTCATGAACGACAAACGTTCGATGTTCATTAAACACGAAGAAATAAGAAGGAACAAACGATCGTAAAAAAATCCTCTCGTTCGATCTGTAGCCGATTCATTAATTCCGCGTAGAAGTCAGATCTACGCACAAACGATCTACGTTGCGCAAGATCATTAGGTTGATTTCCTGATTTCCAGATAACTGTGTCGATCAAACGGAAGGGAAGGCGAAATTTCATGACACTGATTAGACGTCAAGTTGATTAGTCGTTCAATGGTTGGAAAAGTGGCACAGAGAACGTACAGCGAAAGACAAAAGTTTTTCTTAGACGTTGATATATTTTAATGATTTTAATAAAAAGTTATTTCCTTTAATAAAGAGAGAAATGTTATCTGTGTTATCAGATACACAGACTCGTGAAAATATTTGAAAACTTGTATTATAATTATGAAAATGGTAAAAATTATATATATTATAATAAAACTATATTATATTATATTGTATTGTATTGTATTGTATTATATTATATTATATTGTATTATATTGTATTATATTATATTATATTGTATTGTATTGTATTATATTGTATTATATTATATTATATTATATTATATTGGTAAAATTTAGAACAAAACTGAAAATCTAGCAACCGTCCAAAGAGTATATTTAATGAAATTAGTCAAAGAGAATAAAATAAATAATAATAAATAACAAGTAATAGAATAAATAAAACTAAAATATTTAAAATATTCAAAAAAAATTCACACCTTTATAGAAATTGATATAAGATAATAAAAATATAATAATTTCACTTCAGGTAACGTTTAACAAAATCAATAGACGTTGAGTTTCCTTTTTCCTTACATTCCAACTGCGATACTTTTACATCTTACTGTGGATTTTCCGTAGAATTATCATTGTAAAAATATTTTAAATGCATTGCGCGTAAGCGGATCACTGAACACAAAGGAACTGGATGATTATCGAACATGAAAAACCACTAATGCTGCGTTTCCATTTTCCCTGTTTTTTTTTTTCTTTTTCCTTTTGTCGTAAAGAATATTTCATCGATGGTTCAATCAGGTTGAAACTTTAGATCGATAAATCGATTTGGAATTGGAATCGTCGGTCGCGTTTTGCATGGAAATTAAGAGATTCCATTGGTCGAGAGGTTTTTCGAATCCTGCTAATTAATCGGACGATAAATTCATGTAGAAATTTATCGACGTATCGGATTACCGAGATTCTTCGATACTTGTCTCGCTTGAATCGAGATTCTTCGGCGTTTGTTTCATTTGTGCGCGTGTGTTAGAATTAGATCGTCGAAGATCGAGCGATCTGAAATAATTGGCATTCTCCTTTTATTATCTCATTTGCATCTCGCTTAGCTGCCTGAATTCTGATTCAATTCTGAATCAATTCCGAGATTCTTTAATGTTTACCTCAAACGAAACAATTACGATCGACTTCTATTTGTATTAAGGATTCATCGAAGAATATTAAATTGTTGAACGATCTGAGATATTCGGAATTTTTTAATATCTATCTGACCCGAGGAAACATCTCGCATTTTCGTATTATGGTTTAAAAATTAAACAAAAGTATTGGATTATTGCAGACTATTATTTCGATAATTTGAAAACAATCTAAATCCTTTGATGTTGAGATATCTTATGCACTTCAATTCCTGTGCTGAATTGCGAGAAATCTTACAGATTGGAAAACTAACTGCAAATAGAAAATCATCTCTAGGATCGGATCTCTAAACGAGGTATATAGAAGCGTAGTAATAACGACTCAGCTTTCTAACATCAAGTACTCACCTCGGGTCTTTCATACTAAGCCTCGTTAATGACTGGCTGGCTTAAAGACTCTCGTACATGTGTATCTGATTATAAAATAATTACAGATAAGTTTATAACGCAAG